CGTCGCGACAGCTATCCACTTATTCCCCAAAGTGGATGCAGGGAAAGGGCCTAGGAGGTCAAGACCAAGTCGGAAGAAGGGATCAAAGGGAACGTCAAGTGGTTGAAGGAACCCGGCAGGACTCATAGAAGGTTTTTTGCGGCGTTGACACTGATCGCATGAGGCGACGTAGCTGCGGACCGAGCGATAAAGACTGGGCCAGTAAAATCGACGCTGTACGCGGTCATACGTCCGAGACAGTCCGAGGTGACCGGCAGTGGGAGCGTCATGAAGCTGGCCGATCACGCTCGCACGTAAGTGGGAAGGTACTACAAGGAGCAGTTCGTGTCCATCAGGGCGGACGTTGCAACGGTACAATGTGTCATCCTTAAGCACGAACAATCGAGTAGAAGGATCGGGTGCCGCAGAATGAAGCTTCTCGATGATGTTACGCAAGGTAGGATCTCGGCGCTGTTCCTCACGGATGTTGCTTAAAGCGGAGAGAGACAGCACACATGGCGATTCATCGAACGCTTCAGGTGGGTCCACTGGATTCCGAGATAAGCAGTCAGCGTCATGGTGTAAACGGCCAGATTTGTAGGACACCGAGTAGTTATACTCTTGAAGCCGTAGTGCCCATCGACCAAGGCGCCCAGTGGGGTCCTTCAAGGACGAGAGCCAGCAAAGTGCGTGGTGATCGGTTATGACAGTGAAATGTCGACCATGTAAATAAGGCCGAAATTTTGCTACTGCCCAAACGAGAGCAAGGCATTCCCTTTCGGTGATGGAGTAGTTCCTTTCCGCCTGCGAGAGGAGACGGCTGGCATAGGCGATAACGCGGGCGCAGCCGCTTTGATGCTGAACCAAAACAGCACCGATTCCGTAACCGCTGGCATCTGTGTGTACTTCTGTAGGGGCAGAAACGTCGAAATGGGCCAGAACAGGTGGTTTTGTTAGCGATTCAATAAGTGTAGAGAACGCCGTAGCCTGCGCAGCGCCCCATGTGAATGAGACATCTTTCTCAATAAGTCTGTGAGAGGACGGGCGACTTCCGCAAAGTTGTTCACAAAACGTCGAAAGTACGAGCACAGACCGAGAAAGCTGCGTACTTCTTTAGTGCAGGTCGGAACAGGGAAGTTACGCACGGCTCGCACTTTATCGGGATCAGGACGTACACCAGAGGAGTCGACAAGGTGGCCCAACATTGTTAGTTGCTGGCGTCCGAAGTGACACTTTGACGAGTTCAGTTGGAGACCGGCATTGCGAAATACGGCCAGTATTGAGGAAACGCGGTCGAGGTGGGTTTCAAAGGTCGGGGAAAAGACGATAACGTCGTCAAGGTAGCATAGACAAATTGACCATTTGAACCCACGCAAAAGAGAGTCCATCATCCGCTCGAAGGTGGCTGGAGCGTTGCATAATCCGAAGGGCATGACCTTAAATTGGTAAAGACCATCGGGGGTGACAAAAGCGGTCTTCTCGCGGTCCATGTCATCGACAGCAATTTGCCAGTAACCTGCTCTTAGATCAATAGAAGAAAAATACTTAGCGCCGTGAAGACAATCTAGGGCGTCGTCTATGCGCGGTAGCGGGTAGACGTCTTTTTTAGTGATCTTGTTCAGATGTCGGTAGTCAACACAGAATCGCCAAGTGTTGTCCTTCTTTTTGACAAGAACAACAGGGGAAGCCCATGGACTACATGATGGTTCAATTATGTCTTTGGCGAGCATGTTGTCGACTTCTGCTTGAATTATGTGACGCTCGGTCGAAGATACGCGGTATGGCCGTCGATGGACAGGGGAGGCATCGCCGGTGTCAATGCGGTGCTTTACCGCACTGGTTTGACCTAGTGGACGATCACAAAAGTCAAATACGTCCCAGTATGACTCAAGAACGCGAAGGAGTTCGTCAGCTTGATGCGGCAAAAGGTCTGACGCGATCATTTTTTTAACATCAGGAGACGGGCTTCCTTGCGAAGATCGAGCATGTGTGAAGTTGGAGTGTCGAGCCTCGTTCGAAGACAGAGCTGATATGACGCATTCTTCAGAAGGAGTCAGCATGGCGAGGGCGATTCCGCGCGGAAGCACTTGCGGACACAGAGCAAAGTTGAGCACAGGAATGCAGGCGCGGTTTGCACGTAACTGAATAACAGTGTGTGGTAAGGTAACACTGTGGGTCAAGAGAAGGGATGTGATGGGCGCGAGCACATAGTCACCATCGGATACAGGTGGCGAGGGCGTAACGGTGATGCAGGTCACAGTTTGCGGTAACAAACGGACATGTTCAGCAGAGCACATACGGGCTTGCGGTCGACTGGGCGGATCAATCGGACACGGTAGGTCAAGTTGCACAGTACCGGCTGAACAGTCGATGAGAGCGGAATGAGTGGACAAAAAGTCAAGGCCGAGGATCACGTCATTGGTGCAATGAGAAAGAACAGTGAAGAGAACTGAAGTTTGACGGCCGGCAATAGTAACGCGTGCAGTACAGACGCCAATAACAGCAGCCGTACTACCATCAGCAACGCGAACGCTGCGTGAAGGGGCTGGAGTAAGTACTTTCTTTAAGCGGTCTCGAATGTGCAGGCTCATCACAGAAATATGGGCGCCAGTGTCTACTAAGGCTTTAACAGATAAACCGTCCACTTCAACGTCGATCAAGTTCTGATTGGTCGGGAGCGTCAACAGAGGAATTGGAGAGCAAGTCGTATCAGCAGCGTCACCTCCAGGAGCTGCAGCCGTTAGTTTTCCGAAGAAAACCGCCGGGCAGAGGACGGGGACGGGGAACGAGGTGGTGGTGGAGATCGGGAAAATCTACGTCGAGGTGAAGGTGAGCGACTGTACTGGGCAGTGGTCGTAGTGGTCGGGTCGTAATTAGCTGAGCCATCACGCCGTGGTGGTTCCTGGTCATAGAGGTGGGCCGGTGAATGGGGGTTGGAGAAGTTTGGGTTTGCCCGATACGGTGAGGTCCACGTGCTTCGGCAATGACGGGAAATGTGTCCCACTCGTTCACATCGGAAGCAAATCGGCCTGTCATCAGGCGTTCTCCACGCATTTGGGTCACGATTACGTGGAGCAGGGCGGCGATACTGCTGTGGGTGGCTCGGGGTAGACGAACTGACAGCGCCGGGACGGTGCACAGAACAGACTGTGTGAACACCCGCGTTGGCTAGTTCCTGGCGAACAACGGTCTGTATTAGCGATATGGTCGGCTGAGGATCACTCGGTGCCAGTGCTCTCAAGGGGGCGGGTGAGATGGCTTCGATTTCACGGCGTACAATTCTCGTGATGTCACTGGAGTGTGAATTGGGCAGGGTCGGTACACAGAGATCCGCACATGTTGACGTCGCAGCAGTGTTGGGAAGGCGCGTAAAGTGGTAAGCAATGCGACGGCTTTTAGCCTCTTGAAACTGTTGGCACTCCAAGATAACATCTTGCACGGTGGAACAGCCTTTGCACACAATGAGGTTAAATGCATCGTCTGCGATGCCCTTGAGCACGTGCGCTACCTTGTCGGCTTCAGCCATGGTTCGGTCAACTTTACGGCAAAGGGTCAGCACATCTTGAATATACGCCAGGTAGGACTCCGTGGACGTCTGAACACGTGTGCCAAGTTCTTTCCTAGCGGCCTGCTTGCAGCCGGCAGATTGACCAAACAACTCGCGTAATTTGGTCTTGCATACGTCCCAGCTTGTGATACCGTCCACATTGTTATTAAACCACGCCTTGGCCGTTCCTTGTAAATAAAAGATGATGTTTGCCAGCATTAAGGTTGGGTCCCACCTGTGATTTGTGCTGAAGAGTTCGTAGAGTTTAAGCCACTCATCCACGTCCTCGCCGTCCGTTCCCGAAAAGTTGCCGGGATCGCGGGGTGGAGCGGCCACGAGATAAACAGGAGAGGTCGGCGCCATTGATGCATTGGGCGTAGCAGTTGAGGAAGCGTCGCTGCCGGTGGACATGTTGGGAGCAGAGACTAGGCGTCCGCTGCGTAACTCCGTCGTGCGTTGTACCCAGCACCTCCACCAAAATGTTGCGTGAAGGCACAAGGGAAACTAGGCGTTTTAAAATATATTTACACAGCGCCAACGCGCAAGCCAAGATGGCGAACAAGAGAGAGCGCGCGCACACACAAAATCACCTCGTCTTCCTCAGCGCCTATCTCACTGTTTAAGTGGGGCATTGTCTCGTAACAATATTTTTTCAAGTCCTTGATGTCCTCTTTCTCATTGATTAGGATGATAGCATTATTCCGAGATTTTGGTATCCTAACCGTCAAGAGACACTTTGTATACAGAGCGGTCATCTTTTCTAACACAATCTGCCCGCCGTCTTTGAAAATATCTGGCGTATCCTCATCATTGACTTCGGGGCCTTGCATTCTCTCCAAGGCTTTACTTACTTCCTATGTCGTTATTGGTGAGATATCCACTTCCCCTGGGCTACTACTTCTTGCGTTATCGTTCTGGCTATCCCAGCTACTGCACAGATCTCTGTAGAACTCCTCCACTATAGTGCAAATCCCAGGCCCATAGCAGGGGGGGGGGGGGTGCCTTAGTGGTCCGGCTCCCTCGTCAAAATTTGGAAGGAACAGGATGTTGTAACGAGAAAAATAATAAAGGTGGGTATTTTTCAAAGCCTTAAAAATCCCCCTCTCCCTTCCCGTAAAAAAATTGTAGCTACGGGCTGGCTTAAACTATCCCTATTAGTATAGTGACTTTGTCTTCCGTGTCCCTCCCTTTGTGCATACATCTGGTTTTTGCCTATAGCTGCCCAACTTTCTCTGCGCAGCTTTGAGGCTTTGTCCACTCTTTAGCTGTCGGCTGCCTTACGCCAGCCTATTGAATAATTTCGAAAGCTCTGCCAGTTCTGCTTTGTCTGTTGTGTGTGAAAGCTTTCGTGCCTTGACGTTTCTTAAGGAGGTTGTTTGTCGCAACTGAAAGAGGGAGAGCTTGCCGGTGTCCCGTCTGATGACTGCAACTCCGACTTCCATTGCACACTCCGTAATGATATAGACAAACTAGCCTGAAAATACTCGAGACGGGCTTCTCCGCCCTTGATGGGCGCTCGGTAGACGATGAGCGTGTTCACGCGGTTCACCGAAGCCTCGATGTCACCGCTGATTGTAAGACCGAAGCGCGATGCCCGATGTCGGCCCGTGAAGAACACATCGTTGACGGCCGCTGGCGTGGTCACGATGGCCATGTCATGCGAAAACTGGACGGTGCTGTTGCCGGAGCGGTAGAAGGCGGAAAGACCGAGCACCTGTCCACCCGTGATCTGGAACGTGTTCTCGCCGAAGTCCGGCACCTGGAGTGGGTCAATCGCGGACAGCAAATCGCGATCGTTGCGCATCATGTGCAGCACATTGTCCGCGTAGTCGTTGGTGAGAGCCACGTCATCTGCACAGAGAACAAACGTGTGCGTATGCGTCCCATGAAAAATGAGTGGATTGCCAACACCGAATATCACGCGTGGTATGCCCAAAGCTTCGCAATGATTCACTAGCGGGTAAAGGTAAAATTGCAGATAAAGCCTAGAATAACAGAGAACCAAGCTAGTCGGTGCGCATTCATTATATAAAAAACACACAGGACGAGCAAACACAGACACCAGAAGGAAGTGAGGACGACCACAAACGCCTGTATTATACTAACTGCGTTCACACAATGGTGGCAGAGGAAGAAGCGTTTTTTTATAATGAGTTCGATTTCCCTGACTTTTGTGTGCACGCAAAAGGTCACCGAAAAGGATATCTTAGTACGAACATCCTGCCATGTGCGCGAGTGCATCATTTTCTTTTTAAAAAATTTTCCAATTTCTGCTTCTCGCATGCGTCCTCCTCGTCTATGTGCAGAGGGCCAAACTAAGAACTCCGTAATTCGTTTATATTCTCCAGCTAGGGTAATAGCAGCAGCAACACAGTCTAAGTGATAAAATGATTATATATATATATATATATATATATATATATATATATATATATATATATATATATATATATATATATATATATATATATATATATATATATATATATATATATATATATATATATTTATATATATATATATATATATATATAGAGAGAGAGAGAGAGAGAGGAGAGAGAGAGAGAGAGAGAGAAAGAGAGAGAGATGAAATAGATGATCAGAGTTTCTTCTGGCTACGGTAATAAAAACTATAAACTTTGAAACTAGTGCAGTATAGGAAACGAAACAATAATTATTGATTTAATCCTAATGGTTTCAGTGGGTGGACCAGCCTTCTCCGGACGATCTAAGCGAAATGATACAAGTTGCCGTAGCAGAGGGCCACCCTCACAATTTGGAAGACCCCAAAGCGAAAAGAAAAAAAAAGAAAAAAACGAAACAAACGGGTTAATGAGGCAAGGGACAGACAACAAGAAGAAGAAGAAAGGAGGGAAGGAGAGCCGCCGGTAACTGGGGTAGATAAGACGCACCGCCAGCGGAGGCGATCAAGGAAACGGGCACACACACACACACACACACACACACACACACACACACACACACACACACACACACACACACACACACATATATATATATATATATATATATATATATATATATATATATATATATATATATATATATATATATATATATATATATATATATATATATACTTTTTAGGAGCCACCCAGGCTCTTAAAGAGTGTGCCACACTCGCCGCCATGGCTACAGGTGGTGCTGACTGGCACTCCCACGTTCAAATTCACATATATACCCAATAAAGTGGCTGGGAGGATAGCCGCCGTGGTAGCTCAGTGGTAGAGCAAGAGCATCGAACGCGTTATTCGAAGGTCGCAGGTTCGGTTCCTGCTCACGGCAAGTTATCTTTTCACCCACCTTTCTTCTAATAACTTCCCCTATACTTTCCTCGGCATTATTGTCTGTTAGATCTCATTAATATTGTGTCAAAACACGCAAAAACGAGCCCTTAAGTATACACTTCTTTCCCATGTATATATATATATATATATATATATATATATATATATATATATATATATATATATATATATATATATATATATATATATATATATATATATATTGCCCCAGCTATCTTTAGCGAGAGTTCATATAAAATATGCCGACAACAAAATTACGACGCGACCAAATGCACGTTGCTGACTGTTGCCTGCAGTTAATCAAACTATTTTTGGTATGCTAAAGTATTGTTTAATTAAATCTGTTTAAATAAATAACTTATGCAAGAACGAAGATGAATAAGAAGTTTCAATGAGGAAGCTGTAGACCGGTTTGCAAAACGTGCGGTTAGACATTTCTGAACTTTATATCTGTTGATTATTAGTGTTTTTTCACCTAACTACATATACCCGTGAAATACAATAAAAATACCACGTGAAAAACCCGCTCACAAACCGCGATTCTAGTGCTCTCTAACATTCCGCGTACGAACGATACGCTTCTTTCACACTGGTTTATGGCAGCAGTAAGCAGTCACAGCGGCTATCGCTTTTGTGGCAGATAGCGAAGCGTGTTCATCGCAAAGGCACCTCCATCGCTGTGGTCCTGTCGAAAGAGCATAATCAGGAAAATTATATAGTCGTTTGTATACGCGGAATGTGAGCGAGCACTAGAATCATAGTGCGCACTGGCGCGCGAGTGGGCTTGTTACGTGGTATTTTTTGTATTTCGCGCGCATTTGTACTTAGCAGAAAAAACACTAATAATTAACAGATATAAAGTTTCAAATTGTCTAATCAGACGTTTCGCAACCCGATCTACAACTTTAGTATTGAAATTTTTATCCATCTTTGTTCCTTCAAAAGTTAGTTGAATAAAGATATTTAATTAGGCAATATTTTAAAACACGAATATAGTCTGAGTGACTTCAGGCAATGGTCAGCCACATGCATTTGGTCACGTCGTAATTGCATGTATCGGCATATTTTTAAATTCTGGCTAAAGTTAGCTGGGGCACCCTGTATATATAGTGGGAAAAATCACGCGCACCCTGATACAATGAGGAATAACGACTTTCGTTGGCTTGGCACTGTATAGTTTTACTAACGTTTCATGTAGTAGACCAAAATTTGCCAAAGTTGGTCTACCAGATGAAACGTTAAAAAATATACAGTGCGAAACCAATGAAAGTCTTCATGCTTATATATATATATATATATATATATATATATATATATATATATATATATATATATGTGTGTGTGTGTGTGTGTGTGTGTGTGTGTGTGGTGTGTGTGTGTGTGTGTGTGTGTGTGTGTGTGTGTGTGTGTGTGTGTGTGTGCAGATTAGTAACCACTGCTGCTCTGATTTTAACACGAGAAAGAAAAATCGCTATTACACAGATACACAAACCATTATTTGATGTCAAATCAATGAAAAATTAATGGCGACAACAGCGTGCTGTATTGATGTTTGGCAGTGAGCAACACCCCTATTGAGGAAGAACTTTCATATCAATGTAAAGGTAACTGATTCGTGTAACTGAATGTGTGACATAGTGCATCTTCACTTTTCGTTATGAATGGCTTGTTTGTTACGTAATTGACGCCATTTTCTATACTTTAGTTTTAACCAGTCAGGTGACAACCGGCGGGCTCGTAGATGGTTCAGAAGACATGTTGTATAGAGACAGGTGTCCGAGATGCTCGCCTTACGAGCGCGACGCCACAGCACACAAAGACGCTACGGCCGGGTTCGTCGACATTCCAACCCGGCACAGAAAAAGGCACTCAAAGGATATTGTCAACAAGCACAGGATTATTATTCCAAAATGCAGCAGAGTGCGACAATCACATCATTGCGGACTGTATCTCCGCAAGAGCATTCGAGTACGCTTGCCGGTGGCGCTACAACCATCACACAAAGGGAGGAGTCGAGCGCACGGACGAGCAGTCGCTTGCAAATGCAGCGCACGACTCTCTCGCGCCGGCCTCAGAGCATCTTCTGCGGCGAGCAAGTGCCATTTTTTTTTATAAACGAGCGAGTGGTCTGAGAGTCGGGCAACACTGGCGCACTCGCTAGCCATGACGCATGCCGTGACGCATGCCGTGACGTAACGAGCCGCTTGCCGGGCGAGCTGCTGCATGGCTGCTGCACGGCCTGCATTCGATCGAGCTTATTTTGCGTTGTTCAACTTGCTATAAAACTAAATGATTTGCAGCGGTTTAAAAAAATGCCACCGCGTCGCCCGTGTAGCGCTCGTACTTGCAGCAAACAACTTTTGTCAATCTATGTGAGGTCAGAAAGTGTCCTGTGAATGAGCAACGTGTATGCCGTTTGCCACTACGAATAAACATTTATACAAACTCCTCGCAGGTAGTGCCATTGTTAGCGTCACAACTGCTATTTTTTTACCAGAACCGAATTGAATTGACAGAGTTCAAGCAAAGATTCGGCCAAAATGTATAATGTGAGTAACCCTATCGTCGCACTGCCATGCCATTCGCTTCGGCTAATGTTTACATATATGCCACACGCAACAACCGATGGAAAAACAACAGTCCTAACGTGCAGCATTGTTACGAACACTAATTTATTATGTTAAACACCAAACGCCGTGTGTACAGGTATCTAGCAAACAAAGATCTGCATGCTTTACGAATTAAATTGCGCAAAGTAACACTCGCTCGCGAATGGAGCGTCAGACCACCATATCCTAAGCTCGCTTGTCAATTTCGCACGCTTGATATAAAACTACTTATCATTGCAGAAGTCTGTCTGCAACGTTTGCCACAACGATGGAAATACGCGATTCATGTTCGACCCCTCCCCACCAATATGTCACGTTAGTCGCACGCTGGCCATCGAGAGGCGCAGGCTCTTGCTCTCCGGCCCCGATTCGGCTCTAAACAAAACGTATTTTACACGGACATCGCCGGCCCTTACCGCGGGGGTTGGTATACGGCCGCCGTGGTCCACCAAGACAGGCAGGTGGATAGCCTGTTCTTCCGCGCAACCAATGCTACCCACGCTGAAGAGGTGGCCATAGCTGTGGCTATATCACACGACAGTTCTCAAATTATATTATCAGACTCCAAAGGAGCTTGCCAAAATTTTCAACCGGGGTGGATCACACACCTAGCTGCCCAAATTCTTAAATATTGTCTGCGAGTAGGTAACCCTTCTCCGCGTTCAATAACCTGGACTCCTGGCCATCAGAGCCTCGCAGGCAATGAGGCGGAGCACGCGGCCGCCCGCGCACTCATTCCCTGGGCCACTTCTTCACCCACCGATGACCACTGTGTTCTAGAAGAAAATGCTCCTCTCCTAACTTATAGAGAGATAATTACCCATTACCGGGACTCCCACCACCGTTTTTCTCCGCCCTGCAAAAGTCTTAGGAAGGCGGACGAGTGAATTCTTCTCTGGCTATTTACGAATACTTGACTGTGCCCGGCAGTGCGCACTTTGACTTCCTTTTCCGGCCTCTGCCAGTACTGTGCAAAGGTGGCTGACACCTACCACTTGGTATGGGCATGCCAGCTCAATCCTTCGTAACCTAGAACTCAAATCCAACAAGAGAGGACTGGGAGGTGGCCCTGCTCGGTTGCCAGGACCTTGCGGTCCAACGAGCCATGGTGTAGAGTGCGAGGACAGCGGCCACGACCAATGGGGTCCCTGACTAGGGACTCCATCTAGTACTGCAGGGAGGCTGGCTCCCTAAAGGCTGGTCTCCCTAGCAACCTATTTTTTTTCTAAATAAATGTTTACTACTACTACTACTACTACTACTACTACTACTACTACTACTACTACTACTACTACTACTTAGCATTTGGGTTTGTTCCGCCTTTGACGATTTCTTTTTCGCTTGAGCTGACGGGGCGATGTGATCGAAGTCAAGCGTACACAACGTCGTCACCTCTTCTGCTGCTCGATGAACCACTGCCTGAATCGTGGTAATGATGGGGCCGACGACATCTCGATGTTACCGGTAACACGCCGCAACACAATGAACACACTGACCACGCGCAGAAGGTGCTGTTTGGCATACGGTTTGTGACGTCACACATGCCATGGCAAAATGGCGCTCACCGGCGGTGGACGGAGTTTACAACCGACAACTTCTACGGCTCATTTTGGTCTGTAATAATCTTTTACAGTCCAGTTTTTACACGCGTACAAGTATATTTGACCCACTACCACCGTTTTTTGCCGACAACCATAAATTGTTGGCGGAACATGTCATGGATACCTTAAATTCAATGCGAATATTTTAATGCTCCCTCCCTCTCCTGCCCTAAGTATTCTTCAAAATAATAAACATGGTGGCCTCAGCGATTTGTTGCGACCGAGCGCGCCGCGGTCGAAACTAAATTTAAGGCCACGTGCAATGTCATCATGATGGGCCTGTACATCCTAACGCGCTGCTCGGCCGGTGCGCGCCCTATTTGTTGTCTCCATTGTCTGTTAACTCCACGAGAACGTGCGGCCGGCTGATCAGCTAATTGGATGGGTGGTATACTTGACTAGTACGGCTGGACCTGCTATGAACAAGCTAAATAAGCCAAGTCTTGCTAAGATAGAGGTAACTAAGCCACATCTTAATAAGACCATGCTAATCAATCTATGTAAAGCTAGGACTGTACTAACAGTTTAATGCCTGAATCATGAAACTACCAAACGAAATCAAAATTGTTTTCATTTTTCAGCTTCAAATAGCAATCATTACATGATTCTGCCGTTAAATTATTTAAAATACTATTTTAATGCATATTTTGTGCAACGCGAATTTTCTAGATGCCCGGCGAGGGAGGACCTTGCAACAAAAATTAACGTAACATGTCGTGTGCTACTACGTAACATGTCGTGTGCGACCTTTCAAGTGCATACACACCAAATAAACAAAATTATTGAAGACAGAATTTACGTCTCGTCACCAAGAAAAAAAAAACGAAGAATGGAAAGCTGCTGCACGTGCTTCGCGTTCTCCGCCATCCGCTCTAAAACAATTGGTTCTAGCTTAAAGGGACACTAAATTGAAGTAACAATTTACGTCTGAGTGAAAGCTTAATATTACAACATCTAAAACGACAATTTTATCAACAACAGAACCCTACTTACCCAGAAATTAAGGTAAATGCACAAGAACACATGCGCTGCAGTAGGACATCTTCAAAATGATTCCGATGACATCAGATGGACCGCCTACAATTATTCACTAGTAATTGATTAAGCTGCACTAAGTAAAGAACCTTCATTGCACCAAGAAACGCAGTAAAATGCTACTTGTTCGTTTCTGTTTGATTCTTGGAAAAAAGAACCGCCAGAGGTTACTATGGGGAAATGCGCGAGTGGTGCGAAAATTCAGTTTTCGCGTACTTACACTGCTCAGGTGGTGCCATCTAGCGAGGCGAAGTTGAACCAAAAACGTGTGTGATCTCGGAGCCAATGGCAAGAAATTGATCAATGGCCGTCGTACCTGCTGTGGCTCCTGCTGCTTTTGGTCTGCTGCTAACAGGGCAGTAAAGCCGGGCAACGTTGTGCGTGTCAACAGTGACGTGAGTCGGTCCTGTCGGTCCGCTTCTTGAGGCGGGTAATTTGAAGTGCGCTATCCCGATGTGGACCACTAAAATGTGATTTTATTTCCAAGAAGCCCTTACTTGGCACAAAATGACCCTACCAGGTTTGTGGACCGCTATTTCAACAATCAACGTCGACTTAATAGTTGTCTTCAGTGTCCCTTCAAGATAATTTACACATGATGGCGCTAGATTTTTCACGCTGAAAGCTACATGTTCCGTGAGCACTTGACAGCTGGCATTAAAGATTGCACGCATTTCGTGATTTACTGCTCGAAGTTTTTCAGTATGTCACGAATTCGCGACACTCGGCAGTAAAGGGCTAAATCATGCTAATTAACGCTCTAACTAAACCATGCTGGCAAACGCGATTTTAATCATGAGCATGATAAATAAAGCCACGCTAATTAGACCGTTCTAACTTCTCAGTAATATGATGATTATTAGGATCTCGCTAATTAGAATTATGGTAAATAGCTCCATACTGATCATGACCTTGCTCATTGCACCCGAGGTAATTATAATAAAGACAAAGCTGTTCTATTTTATATTAACCAAGCTTTAGCTTATTAGTATAACCAAAATTAAGACGGAGCTGATGCGGTCTTCGAAGCAGACCGAGCAGACTGAATAGACGACTCACTCTAAAAGCTACAAGAAGCTATAAGTTATCACAAGCTCCTTTATAGCTCCAGCCTCGCGCTACTAGTGCAAGCTGACGACATCATTTTATATGCAAAGAAGCTGCTACTTAGCGCCTACAAGATAAAGTGCTTGACAGTCACACCAGCAACATGACAGTCACGAGTAGAACTGGGGCCTTTTCAGAATCAACGAGTTGTATCCGAGTTCACACGTCAACAAGTTTGATTGACAGACGCCCGCGGTGAAGATCGGGTACGCCCACGACGTTTGCTCTTACCAAGGAGCAATGCCTAGGGCGCCTCGACGTGGTCCTCCGGTACTGAGTGGAGACACTGCTTTTTTAGGCCTAATTGTGGTTCAACCGTTCCAGTTCGCTGGCATTGCGTGGCATGCACCGATGGAGCGCTTTCAGCTAAATGCATGGTAATTTGGCTCAATTTATAACTTCAGATGGTAAGGCTTGCAGAAATATTGTTAGTGGTCACTAACAATAATTATGAAACTCACCAATTATCTGGCACTAATTAATAAAAGCGAAACATTTTATCTCGAAGCAATGACATTATGAGCGTATTTGTTGGTCTATGCATCTAACTGGTCGAGTCGATCTTAGTGCTATCGTGGCCGATTTATTAACTTGATGTATACAGTAATTGCCGGAGCATGACAAGAAAACATGAGGAACATAAATGACTAGTCATTACGTAAAAATCGTGACCTGCATGTCGTGTACACCATGACTTGGTCAACGAGCCCCAACAGCCGTTTTATTAACCTGATGTGCACCAAAATTGACAAGGTACGATAAGAGAGCATGGTGATTCATGAGCATAAATGGCTGGTCATAAACAAAAATCATGTCTTGCATGACTTGTGTGCATTGACACAAATGACCCGGTCATGGAGCTCTAACGGCAGTCTGCATTAACCTGGTATGTACCAAAATTTACATGTCACGATAAGAGCATCTCACTAACATAATGACTTGTCATAAAACTGACTTATTCGGTACTGTCCTAATTCAGATGAGCTTAATCTACCTCAACTCAAACGAGCTTAACTTTATCATACTAAAGCATATTATCGGCTCCGCAATCTCAATTCACTCAAAATTCACGTGTTTAATGTTTTATTCGGATTACCAAATCCGCATGAGCCCGATGTGGCCACACTGCCATCTAACTGGTTAGGCAATCTTGATTTATACTTTACTTGCTTAAAGTAACTTAATCCGGATTAGCTTATTCTGGTGTAATCTGATTTCATATATTCAGACATAATCTTCCAGCTGGCTGAGCAATGTTATCTTACGTTCGCCACGGTAGATCAGTGGCTAGGGTGCTCGGCTGACAATCCCGGCGGCGGTGGTTGCATTTCATCATCATCATCATCATCATCATCATCAGCAGCAGCAGCAGCAGCAGCAGCAGCAGCAGCAGCAGCCTGACTACGTCCACTGCAGGACAAAGACCTTTCCCATGTTCCGCCAGTCAACTTGGTCCTGTGCTTGCTGCTGCCACTTTATACCCGCAAATTTCTTAATCCCCTCTGCCCACCAAACTTTCTGTCCTTGTCATCTCCTTTCTTATGTATTAAGATGATGTTAGCATTCTTCCGAGATTCTGGTACTCTTCCCGTCAGGAGACACTTCGTAAACAGGGTATCTAGTTTTCCTAACACAATTTGTCCTCCGTCTTTCAGCAGATTTGATGTTATCTGAACCTCATCAGAAGTTTTGCCTCTTTGCATTTCCTTCAAGGCTTCTCTGACTTCTTCTATTACTGGTGGGATGCCATCTGGGTTACTGCTATAGTTCTTATATCAAAGTCGTGGTTGTCCCGGCTACTGTACAGATCTCTGTAAAAATCCTCCGCTCCTTTAACTATCCTATCTATATTGGCATTTTACTTTGCCTTCCTGGTCCCTTAGTGCATACATAGGGTCTTTGCCTATCTTAAGTTTCCTCCTCACTGCTTTGACGCTTCCTCCGTTCTTCAGAGCGTGTTCAATTCTTTCCATGTTATACCTTCTTACACCGGATATCTTACACTTATTAATCAACTTCGAAAGCTCTACCAACTCTATTTTGTCTGTTGTACTTGAGGCTTTCATGCCTTGACGCTTCCTAATTGGATTCTACGTTTCTTGGGACAGTTTGTCAGTGTCCTGTCTAACAACAGTGCCTCCAACTTCCACTGCACACTCCGTAATGATACTCGTCAGATTATCATTCATTGCGTCAGCGCTAAGGTGTTTTCCTCAATAAGAGCCGAAGCACCTGTTCTGAAGCGAGACTGAATTCCTTTACTTTCCCTCTCAGTACTAGCTCATTGATTGGCTTCTTGCGTATCAATTTCCGTCGTTCCTTCTTCAAGTCTCAGCGAATTCGCGACCGTACCATTCTATGGTCACTGCATAGTACCTTGCCAAACACTTCCACATCCTGTACGATGCCTGGGTGTGCACCC